GGTCGCGCTGCGCTGCTGCTGGCACAGTCTCCCCTGGCCATGTGCTGTGAGGAGACCGGCATTCTCGGGACCAGAGGGCACACGCCCCTGCGCACGGCGTCCGGAGGACTCTTTGGACAGCGCCTCAAGGGCAGAGGCTGTTGGGGGAGCTAGACTAGGAGACAACGCGAGGGCGTGTGACAGAAAGGCTGCATCTACCCTCCCGCGCTGCGCTGCTGCTGGCACAGTCTCCCCTGGCCATGTGCTGTGAGGAGACCGGCATTCTCGGGACCAGAGGGCACACGCCCCTGCGCACGGCGTCCGGAGGACTCTTTGGACAGCGCCTCAAGGGCAGAGGCTGTTGGGGGAGCTAGACTAGGAGACAACGCGAGGGCGTGTGACAGAAAGGCTGCATCTACCCTCCCCCTGGGGCTCACTGGCCTCTGTGTCCCACTAAATACCCCATCTCCTGCAGTTACCTTTAGTGTGAAACACTGGTGTGTGTGTGGGGGGGAGGGGGGCTGTATATAAGTGGGGTATTTTATTAAAACTTGGGCTGTGTTTTATTAACAGCCGGGAGTCCTTTGTCCGTGAGGTCCCTTGTCTTAGCCACAGACCATCCTGCAGTGGGAGCACTGGGGATGATCCCCAGGTAGGATTCTCTTTACTGGGTGATGCTTACTGGTTACCAGTTAACCTGCGGCCCAGCTGTCTCCCTGTTTAACCACTTAACTGATTAAACAGGATTTTACACAAAGACGCCATTTAGGGACGGCGGGGGGCAGTATCTGTACTGGGACGCAACTTGCTTTTCGTCCGTTCCCCTGACTATCAGGGAGCGAGGGGAAAGGACACGGCTTCTGCGCATGCCTCTCGCTCCTGGCTGGTGAAGGGAAGGGGCAGAGGAGTAACGCACAGAATCCGTGTACTTTCTCCCTGCTCCCTGATAGGGGAACAGGAATTAAAACAAGCCACGTCCCGGTACGCACGGCTGCTTTTCCTCCTGCTCTCCCAAAATGGCGCCCTTGATTTTACACCCCCACTCCTGGGCAGTGTTTGGATTGACCAGGGAGGTTTCCCTGCTCCTGGGGGAATCCAGCCCCCTGTCTGGATGCTGCTAACCCATCCCCTGCCAGACGCACTTTAAAACCACAGAGGGACCCTCCTACAAAGTCCCTGTTGCCCACCCTCCTCCCTATTCATGCTGCTGGATGCTGCTGTTCTTGGGGAGAGGGACAGAGGCGCAGTGCCATGGGATTAGTCACTGGAAAAAGGAGCCTGGGAATTCACAGCCTGGGTCTGCCTGGCTAGAGCACAGGAAGGGGGTTGGTACAGTCAATGGCTGTGTAAGTCCCACATCTCTGTCAGTGCTGGGATGGAAACAACCCCTGAGAAGCACAAACTCTTTGTGGGTCCTGTAACCTGCCCTGGCACCAGGGTTCCCTGTGAGCTGCATGTTTGGGCGGCTTCTCAGGAGAGCTTCAAATGCCACCCAGCTGAGAAGCAGAGTGCCCACGGCTAGGTTTTTTGTTTCTACTGGTGGTGCACATCAGCACCACTCCTGGTGCGCATAAGAAAATTTATTCTGCACATGGACAGAAAATATTAGAGCAGTGTTTCTTAAACTGTTTTCCATGGTACACCGGTGTGCTGTGAGGCAGTCGGAGGGGTGCCACGGAGAACAACAGTTCAAAATGGAATTCCCTTAAAGGGGCAGGTGACCTTTTTTTTTTCTCAATAACTTTTCCCGTGCCCCCCCCCCCCTTTTTTTTCTCAACAAAAAATCCTTGGTGTTCCTCATAACCAAAAAAATATTGTTGAGTGTTCCTTGGCCTTAAAAAGTTTAAGAAACACTGGATCAGAGGGATCATTGCCTGGCATGGCCAGGCCCATCGTGGAGCAGGCAGGATTGATAGCCCAGAGGTATCTCAGGAAAGGAAGGTGAGCACAGCTGCCGCCAGGCTGCCAGCTGGTTCCAGGGACCAGTCCTCTAGCCCATGGAGCTGCTCTTTGCTCTGATTGATTGAGCTATCCCCACGCTGCTCCCGAGAGCTGTCAGGTGCCCGGGCACAGGTACATCAGCTGTCAAACAGCCTCACTTCCTGGCCGTGAACCTGCTTTGGGGCTGTCTGGCTCAGCCACGCCTGTCTGTGGGGGCGGGGTTGGGTCTTTGGACTGGCTGAGGAGCGGTCATGGGCCCATCTGGGCTTCTTCGCAGGGCAGTGGGAGCAGGATCCTTGCTGGAGAGGCAAGAGTCAGTCCCCAGGGCTGGCAGCCCAGCCCCTTCCCCGTAAATACATGAGTTAAATGAAGCACAAAGGGGGGGGCGGTCTCGGGACAGATCGGAGTGGGGCTGGAATTAGGGTGCTCCATCACCAGGCTCACATGGGCTCTCTTGCGGGAGACGGGGGATTTGACATCACACATCTCCTAGCCGCGTGTCCCTGCCTGCCCCCTCGGAGACTTTGGGAAGGGATTGCAGCTGAAGGTGCAGAACTTGGCTTATCCCAGACATTAACGCGGTGGTTCGACGTCCCGATTCAACGTGATTCCATTGCAAATAAAGGACCATTTAGAAAAGGGAAGTTCAGCCCTTTGGTCTGCAGTCAATGTGCTTTCGGGGCATGTGTGAAAGGGGCTGAGCCTGCTGGCTGCCATGAAAGGGGGGAGGGCAGGTCAGGGTATGCAGAGGTCCCCAAGAACTCAACA